TTAATTCAGTACTTCGCTGTTGTTTCTCAGTCCATTTGCTCTCTAAGGATATACAGGATATACCTGTTATTAGTGGATTCAAGGGCTAAAAACTCGATTATATCGTGCTTGGTGATGTATTTTTTCTTTGGTAATTTCGACCGCTTTCGGTATGTTGGTGCTCAGTAATCCTTAACCCAGATCAGTGCAATCTGTTCAATACTTAACTTTGGTTGCCCAGTATATTAGTTTTCTCGGGATATATAGGATATACTTGTTTTTAGAGGATTCATGGGGTTCAAAACTCTATCATATCGTGCTTGGTCATGTATTTTTTCTTAGGTTATGTTCGGCCGTTTTCGTTATGTTGTCAATCAATAATTCCTAACCCAGATCTGTGCACTTTATGCAGTACTTAATTTTTGTTGCCCATTCCATTTGCTTTCTTATGTTATTCAGGATGTACCTGTTATTAGGGGATTCTAGGACTAAAAACTCGATCATATCGTGATTGGTCATGTATTTTTTCTTTGGTAAGTTTGGTTGTTTTCGGTATGTTGGCGCTCAGTTATCCTTAACCCGGATCAGTGCACTCTGTTCAATAGTTAACTTTTGATGCCCAGTATATTAACTTTCTTGAGATATACAGGGTATACCTGTTTTTAGAGGATTCAAGGGTTCAAAACTCGATCATATCGTGCTTGGTCATGTATTTTTTCTTAGGTTATGTTCGGCCGTTTTCGGTATGTTGTCAATCAATAATTCTTAACCCGGATCTGTGCACTTTAGTCACTACGTAACTTTCGTTGCCCATTCCGTTTGCTTTCTTATTTTATTCAGGATGTACCTGTTATTAGGGGATTCTAGGGCTAAAAACTCGATCATATCGTGCTTGGTCATGTATTTTTTATTTGGTAAGTTCGACCGTTTTCGGTATGTTGGTGCTCAGTAATCCTTAACCCGGATCAGTGCACTCTATTCAATATTTTACTTTTTTTGCCCAGTATATTAGCTTTCAAGGGATATATACCTGTTTTAAGAGGATTCACGGGTGCAAAACTCGATCATATCGTGCTTAGTCATGTATTTTTTCTTAGGTTAGGTTCGGCCGTTTTCGGTATGTTGTCAATCAATATTCCTTAACCAGGATCTGTGCACTTAATTCAGTACTTAGCTGTTGTTTCTCAGTCCATTTGCTCTCTAAGGATATATAGGATATACCTGTTATTAGTGGATTCAAGGGCTAAAAACTCGATTATATCGTGCTTGGTCATGTATTTTCTCTTTGTTAAGTTCGACCGTTTTCGGTATGTTGGTGCTGAGTAATCCTTAACCCAGATCAGTGCACTCTGTTCAATACTTAACTTTTGTTGCCCAGTATATTAGCTTTCTTGGTATATATAGGTTTTACCTGTTTTTAGGGGATTCACGGGTGCAAAACTCGATCATGTCGTGCTTGGTCATATGTATTTTTTCTTAGGTTTGGTTTGGCCGTTTTCGGTATGTTGTCAATCAATAATCCTTAACCCGGATCTGTGCACTTTATTTAGTTCTTAACTTTTGTTTATAAGTCCATTTGCTTTTTTAGGATATATAGGATATACCTGTTTTTAGTGGATTCAAGGGCTAAAAACTCGATTATATCGTGCTTGGTGATGTATTTTTTCTTTGGTAAGTTCGACCGCTTTCGGTATGTTGGTGCTCAGTAATCCGTAACCCAGATCAGTGCAATCTGTTCAATACTTAACTTTGGTTGCCCAGTATATTAGTTGTCTTGGGATATATAGGATATACTTGTTTTTAGAGGATTCATGGGGTTCAAAACTCTATCATATCGTGCTTGGTCATGTATTTTTTCTTAGGTTATGTTCGGCCGTTTTCGTTATGTTGTCAATCAATAATTCCTAACCCAGATCTGTGCACTTTATGCAGTACTTAATTTTTGTTGCCCATTCCATTTGCTTTCTTATGTTATTCAGGATGTACCTGTTATTAGGGGATTCTAGGACTAAAAACTCGATCATATCGTGATTGGTCATGTATTTTTTCTTTGGTAAGTTTGGTTGTTTTCGGTATGTTGGCGCTCAGTTATCCTTAACCCGGATCAGTGCACTCTGTTCAATAGTTAACTTTTGATGCCCAGTATATTAACTTTCTTGAGATATATAGGGTATACCTGTTTTTAGAGGATTCAAGGGTTAAAAACTCGATCATATCGTGCTTGGTCATGTATTTTTTCTTAGGTCATGTTCGGCCGTTTTCGGTATGTTGTCAATCAATAATTCTTAACCAGGATCTGTGCACTTTAGTCACTACGTAACTTTCGTTGCCCATTCCGTTTGCTTTCTTATTTTATTCAGGATGTACCTGTTATTAGGGGATTCTAGGGCTAAAAACTCGATCATATCGTGCTTGGTCATGTATTTTTTCTTTGGTAAGTTCGACCGTTTTCGGTATGTTGGCTCTCAGTGATCCTCATTCCGGATCAGTGCACTCTATTCAATACTAAAATTTTGTTGCTCAGTATATTAGATGTCTTGAGATATATAGGGTATACCTGTTTTTAGAGGATTCAAGGGAGCAAAACTCGATCATATCGTGCTTGGTCAGATATTTTTTTCGGTTAGGTTCGGCCGTTTTCGGTATGTTGTCAATCAAGTATCCTTAACCTGGATCTGTGCACTTTATGCAGTGCTTAACGTTTGTTGCCCAGTCCATTTGCTTTCTTATGATATATAGGATATACCTGTTTTTAGGGGATTCAAGGGCTAAAAACTCGATCTTATCGTGCATGGTCATGTATTTTTTCTTTGGTAAGTTTGGCTGTTTCCGGTATGTTGGCGCTCAGTTATCCTTAACCAGGAACTCTGCACTCTTTTCAATACTTCACTTTTGTTGCCCAGTATATCAGTTTTCTTGGGTTATAAAGAGTTTACCTGTTTTTAGAGGATTCAAGGGTTCAAAACTCGATCATGTCGTTCTTTGTCATGTATTTACTCTTATGTTAGGTTCGGCCGTTTTCGTTATGTTGTCAATCAATAATCCTACACCCGGATCTGTGCACTTTATTCCGTACTTAACTTCTGCTGCCCTGTCCATTTGCTTTCTTAGGATATATATAGGATATACCTGTTATTAAAGGATTCAAGGGCTGAAAACTCGATCACATCGTGCTTGGACATGCATTATTTCTTTTGGAATTTTGGCCGTTTTCGATATGTTGGCGCTCAGTTCTCCTTAACCCGGACCAGTGCACTCTGTTCAATACTTAATATTTATTGCCCAGTATATTATCTTTCTTGGGATATATAGGGTATATCCGTTTTTAGAGGATTCAAGGGTTCAAAACTCGATCATATTGTACTTGGTCATGTATTTTTCTTAGGTTAGGTTCGGCCCTTTTCGGTATACTAGTATTGTCAATCAATAATCCCTAAACCGGATCTGTGCCCTTTATTCAGCACTTACCTTTTGTTGCCTAGTTCATTTGCTTTCTTAAGATATGTAGGACATACCTGTTATTAGAGGGTTCAAGGGCTAAAAACTCGATGATATCGTGATTGGTCATGTAATTTTTCTTTGGTAAGTTTTGCCGTTTTCGGTATGTTGGCGCTCAGTTATCCTTAACCCGGATCATTGCACTCTGTTCAATACTTAACTTTTGTGGCCCAGTATATTAGATTTCTTGGAATATATAGGATATAACTGTTTTTAGATGATTCAAGGTTTCAAAACTCGATCACATCGTGCTTGGTCATGTATTTTTTCTTTGGTAAGTTGGCCTTTTTCGGTATGTTGGCGCTCAGTAATCCTTATTCAGGAACTGTGCACTTTATTCAGTACTTAACTTCTATTGCCAAGTCGATTTGCCTTCTTAGGATATATAGGATATACCTGTCATTAGGGGATTCAAGAGCTGTAAACTCGATCATATCGTGCTTGGACATGTAATTTTTCTTTTGGAATTTTGGCGGTTTTCGATATGTTGGCGCTCGGTTATCCTTAACCCAGATCAGTGCACTCTGTTAAATCCTTTGCTTTTGTTGCCTTGTCCATTTGCTTTCTTCACGTATAGAGGATATGCCTGTTATTAGGGTACTAAAGGTCTAAAAACTCGATCATATCGTGCTTGGTCGTGTATTTTTTCTTTGGTAAGTTTTGCCGTTTTCGGTATGTTGGTGCTCAGTAATCCTTAACCCGGATCAGTGCAGTCTGTTCAATACTAAACTTTTGTGGCCCAGTATATTAGATTTCTTGGGATATATAGGGTATACCTGTTTTTAGAGGATTCAAGGGTTGAGAATTCGATCATATCGTGCTTGCCCATGTATTTTTTCTTAGGTTAGGTTCAGCCGTTTTCGATATGTTGTCAATCAATAATACTTAACCCGGATCTGTACACTTTATTCAGTACTTAACTATTGTTGCCCATTTCATTTGCTTTATTAGGATATATAGGATATACATGTTATTAGGGGATTCAAGGTCTAAAAACTCAATCATATCGTGCTTGGTCAGGTATTTTTTCTTAGGTTATGTTCGGCGATTTTCGGTATGTTGTCAGTCAATTTTCCTTAACCCGGATCTGTGCAATTTATTCAGTGCTTAACTTTTGTTGCCGAATCCATTTGCTGTCTTAGGATATATAGGATATACCTGTTATTAGGGTATTCCAGGGCTAAAAACTAGATCATATCATGCTTGTTCATGTATTTTTTATTTGGTAAGTTCGACCGTTTTCGGTATGTTGGTGCTCAGTAATCCTTAACCCGGATCAGTGCACTCTATTCAATATTTTACTTTTTTTGCCCAGTATATTAGCTTTCAAGGGATATATACCTGTTTTAAGAGGATTCACGGGTGCAAAACTCGATCATATCGTGCTTAGTCATGTATTTTTTCTCATCGGCACTTAAAGTTAACCAGCGAGAGACGTTAACCACCGAGGGTCGGTTTTTAGACACGCCCAGTGCAACTATGCACGCCTTCTTTTGGAGCTCTTTAGTATGAAGATAAGAAAAGTATACAGAATTGAGGGACTGTCGACAATGTTTTATCATTGTTTTTGGTTTACAGTCGTTACCCGTAAATAAACTGGACCCCTGTTGTGTTTATTTATCGCTGCACTGAGCCTCCTGCACTACGATGGAATGGCGGACCAGTTTAAACATGGTAAACAGATAAACAGCTGATTAAAGCAACCTGTAAGAAGAAATGAGTTAACTATTGTTTATATTAGAGACGAGAATGTCTCGTGTTTTGTTCTGCTCAGAAAAGCAGGAACCTTGGAGTTTATGGTTAGATTGTAATTCTTTCTTGAATCAAAACTGGGTAAATTTGATATAGGTAACAAACACTCCCCCTTTTAAAAAAATAACTCGAGAACCACACATCGGCCATCGCGCTCGCTGCACAAAGTAACAATAGTCAATATGAAATAATTATTGTTACTTTCAAGAATCATTAATTGTCAAAACGTACCCCCCCCCCCCCCGGACATCAAAGGAAGTTAAATGAAGTATTCCTACTGCAGAAAAAAAAACCATAACATAACCTTTTAAGAAGTCATAATTATTTGGACTACCCCTGAATATATTGCAGACAGGCTCTGATCTGAAAAATGTTTTAAGAGCAATCTTTGAAATGATTTTTTAGGTAATTTAATTATTATGTAATTAATATTAACATAGTTATAAACTTTCAAATGTATTGACCAATATGACCAACTCCTATGCTCTTTCCCATAAATGTCACAATATCATTATATTACAGTAAAATCCGATAGTTTGATGACATTGTTTATGCCTATTGACCTCAAGTCAGCCTAAACTTCATTAATAAAAACCTAAGACATTAACCACCTGCAATGTGATTGCATCAAAATGACACCTAAAATTAAGGCATATCATACTAATTGTGCAGGATGTGCCACCAAAATAAATACTGTCTTGTAAAATTAGATGATGATAGTTATAGCTACATGTAGTAATTATAATAACTGATGATAGATTTAAATCTGAGTAAAAGGTTGATTTATATGTGCTCATTCATGTTTTAATTAAAATATAAATTGAATCTTTTCTTTTATAATATTAAGATATTAAAATCACAATTATTTATTTGTAAACTAAAAATATTTTTTGTCCTTTTAAGAACATGACTGTACACAAACATTATACACAAATAATTTTAATAATTCTGTCATGTATTTTTATGTAGCCCCAGAATGGTCTGAACAGTGGCAAAAGACTAATCCAGATTACCAAAAAATAGAAATTGTTCAGCTATCATTCATGCCATAAGCATGATAAGAAAAATTTTGCAGTTTCCAGAATTTGAGGTAGAGTATAGTCAGGAATAGTTTAAATATGCAGATGTTTAGTTTGCAATAAACAATTATGTCCTTGATAGAAAAGTAGAGGAAACAAAAGAGTATGAAAATAGTTGAAAAAAGTAATCAATATTACCTAGTCATAAATAATGTAAATAGAAAAGAGAAAGGCAATGGTTACGACTTGGTTTTATTAATAGCTTTATCATTTGTCCATAATTTGGAATGAATCTTGACATTTTCATGTCACAATTTGATCTAAATACATCTTCCTTTATAAAATAATATTATTTTCAGTCTACTGAAACAGGTATTTTTTTTGTTATTAAAAAGAACAATGAAACAATCGTTGAACAATTTTACCTAGCCTGTAAAGCTGATAGCTTGTTGATTTATAAAATTGATTAACTCATGGGTTAACAGGTAGTAAAATGTTATACTACAATCCTGGTACCTGATACAGCCTTCAAAATCTGAAGGTTAGTTTCAACCCAGTCCTGATAAATTTATCAATGAAAACTAATCAACTGACCAAATAAAAATTCACTGGGTAAAATGATAATATTTTAAGTAATAATACAATATTCATTCATACCATTTGTTGCGTAAAATAGTTTTGTTACTTATCATACATATATGATTTACTCATAATACTCTAACAGTATTATATGGTAACCACCGACGGTAAGTATGGACAAATACTGTATATAGACTGTGTATAGGAGTACTGTATTGTATGGTAACCACCGACGGTAGGTATGGATAAATACTGTATATAGACTGTGTATAGGAGTACTGTATTGTATGGTAACCACCGACAGTAGGTATGGATAAATACTGTATATAGACTGTGTATAGAAGAACTGTATTGTATGGTAACCATCGACAGTAAGATGGACAAATACTGTAAATAGAATATGTATAGTACTGTATTGTATGGTAACCACCGACGGTAGGTATGGACAAATACTGTATATATACTGTGTATAGGAGTATTATATTGTATGGTAACCACCAACGGTAGGTATGGACAAATACTGTATATAGACTGTGTGTAGGAGAACTGTATTGTATGGTAACCACCCACTGTAGGTATGGACAAATACTGTATATAGACTGTGTATAGGAGTACTGTATTGTATGTTAACCAATGACGGTAGGTATGGACAAATACTGTAAATAGACTGTATAGGAGTCTTGTATTTTGTGTTAACCACTGACGGTAGGTATGGACAAATACTTATATAGACTGTGTATAGGAGTACTGTATTGTATGGTAACCACCGACGGTAAGTATGGACAAATACTGTATATAGACTGTGTATAGGAGTACTGTATTGTATGGTAACCACCGACTGTAGGTATAGACAAATACTGTATATAGACTGTGTAAAGGAGTACTGTATTGTATGGTAACCACCGAAGGTAGGTATAGACAAATACTGTATATAGACTGTGTATAGGAGTACGATATTGTATGGTATCTAACGACTGTAGGTATAGACAAATACTGTATATAGACTGTGTAAAGGAGTACTGTATTGTATGGTAACCAACGACGGTAAGTATGGACAAATACTGTAAATAGATTGTGTATAGGAGTACTATATTGTATGGTATCCAACGACGGTAGGTATGGACAAATACTGTATATATAGACTGTGTATAGGAGTACTGTATTGTATGGTAACCACCGACGGTAAGTATGGACAAATACTGTAAATAGATTGTGTATAGGAGTACTGTATTGTATGGTAACCACCGACTGTAGGTATGGACAAATACTGTATATATAGACTGTGTATAGGAGTACTGTATTGTATGGTAACCACCGAAGGTAGGTATAGACAAATACTGTTGATATACGGTATATAGGAGTACTATATTGTATGTTAACCACCGACGGTAGGTATAGACATATACTGTTGATAAACGGTATATAAGAGTACTATATGGTATGTTAACCACCGACGGTAGGTATAGAAAAATACTGTTGATAGACTGTGTAATGGAGCACTGTATTGTATGTTAACCACCGACGGTAGGTATAGACAAATACTGTTGATATACGGTATATAGGAGTACTATAGTGTATGTTAACCACCGACGGTAGGTATAGAAAATTCTGTTGATAGATAGTGCATATGAGTACTATATTGTATGTTAACCACCGACGGTAGGTATAGACATATACTGCTGATAGACTGTGTAATTGAGCACTATATTGTATGTTAACCACCGACGGTAGGTATAGACAAATACTGTTGATATACAGTATATAGGAGTACTATATTGTATGTTAACTACCGATGGTAGGTATAGACATATACTGTTGATAGACGGTATATAGGAGTACTGTATTGTATGTTAAGCACCGACGGTAGGTATAGACATATACTGTTGATAGACGGTATATAAGAGTACTATATGGTATGTTAACCACCGACGGTAGATATAGAAAAATACTGTTGATAGACTGTGTAATGGAGCACTGTATTGTATGTTAACCACCGACGGTAGGTATAGACAAATACTGTTGATATACGATATATAGGAGTACTATATTGTATGTTAACCACCGACGGTAGGTATAGAAAAATACTGTTGATAGATAGTGCATATGAGTACTATATTGTACGTTAACCACCGACGGTAGGTGTAGACATATACTGTTGATAGACGGTATATAAGAGTACTATATGGTATGTTAACCACCGACGGTAGGTATAGAAAAATACTGTTGATAGACTGTGTAATGGAGCACTGTATTGTATGTTAACCACCGACGGTAGGTATAGACAAATACTGTTGATATACGGTATATAGGAGTACTATATTGTATGTTAACCACCGACGGTAGGTATAGAAAAATACTGTTGATAGATAGTGCAAATGAGTACTATATTGTACGTTAACCACCGACGGTAGGTATAGACATATACTGCTGATAGACTGTGTAATGGAGCACTGTATTGTGTGTTAACCACCGACGGTAGGTATGGACAAATACTGTATATATAGACTATGTATAGGAGTACTGTATTGTATGGTAACCACCGACGGTAGGTATGGACAAATACTGTATATAGACTGTTTATAGGAGTACTGTATTGTATGTTAACCACCGACGGTAGGTATGGACAAATACTGTATATAGACTGTGTATATGAGTCTTGTATTTTATGTTGACCACCGACGGTAGGTATGAAAAAATACTGTATATAGACTGTGTATAGGAGCACTGTATTGTATGGTAACCACCGACGTTAAGTATGGACAAATACTGTATATAGACTGTGTAGAGGAGTACTGTATTGTATGGTAACCACCGACGGTAGGTATAGACAAATTCTGTATATAGACTGTGTATAGGAGTACTGTATTTTATGGTAACCAACGACGGTAGGTATGGACAAATACTGTATATATAGACTGTGTATAGGAGCACTGTATTGTATGGTAACCACCGGCGGCAAGTATGGACAAATACTGTATATAGACTGTGTATAGGAGTACTGTATTGTATGGTAACCATTGACGGTAAGTATGGACAAATACTGTATATAGACTGTGTATAGGAGTACTGTATTGTATGGTAACCACCGACGGTAAGTATGGACAAATACTGTATATAGACTGTGAATAGGAGAACTGTATTGTATGGTAACCACCGACGGTAACTATGGACAAATACTGTATATAGACTGTGTATAGGAGTACTATATTGTGTGGTAACCAACGACGGTAGGTATGGACAAATACTGTATATATAGACTGTGTATAGGAGTACTGTATTGTATGGTAACCACCGGCGGTAAGTATGGACAATTACTGTATATAGACTATGTATAGGAGTACTGTATTGTATGTTAACCACCGACGGTAGTTATGGACAAATACTGTATATAGACTTTGTAAAGGAGTCTTGTATTTTATGGTAACCACCGACGGTAGGTATAGACAAATACTGTATATAGACTTTGTATAGGAGTACTTTATTGTATGGTTACCACCGACGGTAGGTATAGACAAATACTGTGTGTAGAATTTATTTATTTAAATGAAAAGTGTTGCACATAAATTGTATTTCTGCATTGAAATTTTATGTAATCTGTACATTTCGTTTTTTTCCCTTCAAATGGTGGAATGGTCCTATTTGTCCTTAAATGGCAAATAAAACTTACTGTTCTTGGCTTTTATGTTTGATATATTTTTGAATATTCTTCACGTGGAGATCTGATCTTGTCTATTGAATTTTGTCATTTTCCTTATGACATGTATGTTAATTGCAGCAACTGAATTGGACTTATTTATTAAAAGTGATAATATTTCTGTTGTAGGTAATCAAGATTTAGTGTTTCCATACAAGTGTCAAAGATTGAACGACAAAAACATCTAAAACTTTACAGGACAGAGTAGACTTTTTTCACTGTGCTTCATTTTGTCTTTATGTCTAAATAATGATACATTTTAAAAAACCAATAAAATATGGAATAAAAAAGATTGTTATCTTATAAAATGGAGTGAAGAAATAAGGGGTGATTGAAAACATAAGAATATATTGCTATCATATATGCAGATCAGCAGTACATGCATGTGCTATAGATGTACATAAATAAGGGGCCAATAAACTCAAGTTGCCTGTTAAAAAAGACTTTATTAATGTTATGCAAGATACCATCAAATATCACTAGGTGTTAATCAAATAATATTGTAAATAAGAGGGTTGTCCAAAATATTTCCAACAGTTGTTTGATAAACACTACCTTAATCAAATTACACTGTCAAAAAGCAGGTTAGGTCAGTCTTAAGAAGCAAATATAATTTAGAAAAGTGCAAGCTGTTGATAAAAACTACAAATATCAGCCTTATTGCAAAGGGAACTGCCAGTCATAAGAGAGGGGCGAAAGATACCAGAGGGACAGTCAAAACTCATAGATCAAAAATAAACTGACAACGCCATGGCTATCAAAGAAAAAGACAAACAGACAAATAATAGTACACAAGACACAACATAGAAAACTAAAGACTAAGCAACACGAAAATGTGGGTGGAGATTACCAATTAGCACAAATGAGTTTCGGGACAAAAGAAAGTATTTCGGCACAAACCGATTATACCCTTTCAAAAACTATGTGTAGTCCCTTTTATAAAAGTGGCAGATGTTTTTTTTTTGCCTATTTATACATGAGTATCTATGACAACTAACTGCTGCTCCTAGTAAAGTTAGTCTTTGGTTTTTATACGACCGCAAAAAAATTTTTGTGGTCGTTTATTGGTATGACGCTGGCGTCGTCGTCGTCGTCGTTGTCGTCGTCGTCTGGCGTCGTCCGGCGTCGTCCGTAGACACATTGGTTTTCGCACTCTAACTTTAGTTTAAGTGAATGGATCTCTATGAAATTTTACCACAAGGTTCAATACCACAAAAGGAAGGTTGAGGGTTATGGTACCAACAGTTAAGGAATTAGGGGCCAAAAATAAGCATTTTTGTAACTTCCAGACATAACTTGTGTGTAAGTGTATGGATCTCTCTGACATTGTACCACAAGGTTTCATATCACAAAAGGAATGCTGGGATTGATTTTGGGGGTAATTGCCTCAAAATTTTAGGAATTAGGGGCCAAAAAAGGGGCAAAAAAACAAGCATTTTTCTAGTTTCATGACAATTACTTGTGTGTAAGTGTATGGATCTTTCTGAAATTGTACTACAAGGTTCCATATCACAAAGGGAAAGCTGGAATTGAGTTTGGGGGTAATTGCCGAAACGTTTAGGAATTGGGGGCCAAAAAGGGGCCAAAAATAAGCATTTTTTCTAGTTTCCAGACAATTACTTGTGTTCAAGTGTATGGATCTCTCTGAAATTGTACTGCAAGGTACCATACCACAAAGGGAAGGCTGGGATTGATGATGGGGGTAATTGCCTCAATATTTTAGGAATTTGGGGCCAAAAAGGGGCCAAAAAACACATTTTCTAGTTTCCCGACAATAACTTGTGTGTAAGTGTATGGATCTCTCTGAAATTGTACTGCAAGGTACCATACCACAAAGGGAAGGCTGGGATTGAGTTTGGGTGTGATGAATCATAAGGGGGTTCAAAAAATTTGGGGAGGGGGGGATTTTTTTTTTTTCCTTTTTTTTCTTTTTTTCCTATATTTTCTTTTAAAAATTTTCCATTTTAAGTTGGTTATTTCTGATTTTTATTTAAAAGCAAATAATAATGATATGGTAGGAGATACACACCAAACAGGATGTGTAAATTATTATATAATAAGTATTGTGCAATAGCAAGTAATCTTCAATTGAACAGTATTGCGCAATAGCAAGAAATCTTCAATTGCAAAGTATTGCGCAATAGCAAGAAATATCCAATAGCACAATATTGCGCAATAGCAAGAAATTGTCAATTGTACAGTATTGCGCAATAGCAAGAAATATTTAATTGCACAGTATTGTGCAAATGAAGATACTTCGTATAAATTGCTTATTTCTTGACCAATTTCAATGGGGTTTTATTCTTGAATTCTTGGGGTTCTTTAATATGCTGAATCTAACCGTGTATTTAGATTCTTAATTTTTGGTTCCGTTTTCAAATTGGTCTACATTAAGGTCCAAAGGGTCCAAAATTAAACTTAGTTTGATTTTAACAAAAATTGAATTCGTAGGGTTCTTTGATATACTGAATCTAAACATGTATTTAGATTTTTGATTATGGGCCCAGTTTTCAAGTTGGTCCAAATCGGGGTCCAAAATTAAACTTTGTTTGATTTCAACAAAAATTGAATATATGGGGTTCTTTGATATGCTGAATCTAACCATGTATTTAGATTTTTGATTTTTGGGCCCCGTTATTAACTTTGTCCACATTGAGGTCGAAAGGGTCCAAAATTAAACTTTGTTTGATTTCATCAAAAATTGAATTCTTGGGGTTCTTTGATATGCTGAATCTAACCATGTATTTAGATTTTGGATATTGGACCATAATAGGTGAATGTCCAATTTAAAAATTTTATAAGTTCTTAGACCACATTCATTCTGTGTCAGAAACCTATGCTTTGTCAAATATTTAATCACAATCCAAATGCAAAGCTGTATCAAGCTTGAATGTTGTGTCCATACTTGCCCCAACTGTTCAGGGTTCGACCTCTGCGGTCGTATCAAGCTGCGCTCTGCGGAGCATTTTATTGAAAGATTATATCTGTTGTTACAATTCTTTTCTAAGGCACCGGCCTCATAAACAGGAAGTAGCCAGATTAGTAGCAGTACTAATACAATACTGTAAAAATAAGGAGATGTGATATGATTGCCAATGAGACACCTATCCACTCAAGTTCAAATGAAGTGGATGTAAGCAGTTATATGCAACCATACAGCCTTCAACAATGAGCAAAAACATACCATATAGAACCTTGTAAAGGCTAGTATGATTTACATCTGCAATAATCACTGAACAATCAGAGACAAGTTGGGCCTAAATTAGTATGTCCTAACTCCCAATCAAATTGATCGAAGAGAGAGGCGAAAGATAACAAAGGCTCATTCAAACTCATAAGTCAATAATAAACTGACAAAACCACGGCAAAAAAGAAAAAGATTAAAAGTCAATCAACAGTATGCAAAACACAACAAAGAACACTAAAGACTGAGCAAAACGAACTTCACCAAAAACTGGTGTGACCAATTGACTAATTGATCTCAGCCTTACATTATTTAGCAGACCCTTTATTATACCAAACAAAACAAAGTTCCTAAGGGTACAATGTTTTTGACCCATCAGTCTGTCTGTCCTGTTCTCGTTATCTCAATTCCTCTGAAACCACATAACAGAATTTTATAAATCTTTGTAGATAATATCGACAGGAAATTATGAAATTATCGATTCATTGATTTTCTATTAGTTATGAGAAATTTGGCTTTAATATACTCCTACAACAGTTTGTCATCACAACTTTCTGAAAGTACACAACAGAGTTTCATGAAATTTTTTAGATAGTTAGGACATGCTACGTCGATGTGCATATCGACAGAAAATTATGATTAAATTTTTATGCCCTACCCACGATAGTAGATGGGCATTACGTTTTCCGGTCTATGCTTCCTCCGCTCGTTCGTCCGTCTGTCCCGCTTCAGGTTAAATTATTTGGTCAAGGTAATTTTTGATGAAGTTGAAGTCCAATCAACTTGAAACTTAGTACAAATGTTTCCTATGATATGTTCTTTCTAATTTTAATGCCAAATTAGAGTTTTTACCCCAATGTCACGGTCAACTGAACATAAAAAATGATAGTGCGAGTGGAGAAACGTGTACTGTGGACACATTCTTGTTTTTGTCAAGCCTGCGACATTCGTCGCAGAAAGCTCGACATAATGATAGTGATCCGGCTGCGGCGGCGGCGGCGTTAGTTCACTTCTTAAAAGCTTTATATCTTAGAAGGTGGAAGACCTGAATGATACATACTTTGTATATAGATGCCTTAGGTTAGGAAGTTTCCGTCTGTCACATGTTCATTGTCCTTGACCTCATTTTCATGGTTCAGTGACTACTTGAAAAAAAGTTAAGATTTTTTGGAAAATGACGCTATCAGCGGCATGTTTCCGATACCATTGACCAGAACTTACGTAAGTCGATTATTGCCTTCGCCTACCGCACTCGGTTTCATATTTACTATTTTACATATTACTGTTACTGGAATCTGCTTGTATTACGCTACACTCGAACAAAGTGTTGTAGTCGGACGGGAACCAGTTAACATACTTTATTTTATTTACCAAAAAGATATCTTGACCTGTCCATATGTTTTTTGTTATTAAATGGTATTTGGAAATATCCCTTTGTTATATTTTTCATATTTATTCGAGCTTTCATTTTTATGCACATGTCTTACAATCGTAAACAATCGGTATGTATACATGATAAATATATCCGTTTTGTTATGGTGTTGGACTTTTTACCCTCCAATGATCAGCAATCGCTAGGCAAAATAGTTCTCCTAAATAATGTCAGCCTGTCATGCCATTTCAACTTTACAATCATTAAAAAAAGTGATAATCGGAATCTGGTCTTTATCCAGATTTACGAAGATTTTTTAAAAATCGGAAATTAGTAATACGGTTATACCCATGCGGTGCGTATGAATCTTGTTTACAAAACAGGATTTCGGAACGTCTCTAGTTTTTAGATCGTAAGTTACGATAAACTCAAACTGAAAGTAAACAGTTGTTTGTAAGACGCAGGTTTACTCACCATAAACAAGCTGAAACGTTCAGTATGGCATATATTTTAGGTTAAAGACGGTCCCATTTATTTAAAAAGCATTTTGAAAGTAGACGATGGGATTATTCAGGTTTGGGGAACGAGTAAATTATCATTCATTTCTTGACGACCTCATAATTTCATCATGTCGATGGTGCAAATCGATTTTTACTGTTTACTGTCGCTTCTCGTGTTTTGTATTTAAACGGTCGTTTATTTTTAAACCCGAACCAGGCATATGCATTCTGTAATTGTGCAAATCTTCGTTCTTTGGTCAATTGGC